GAGAGAGAGAGAGAGAGAGAGAGAGAGAGAATAAATTGCTAAAATAAAAATGGTACGACAAAATCTTCCTGTATATATTTCAACGCTTTCTTTTTCCTCCAAGTATCACGTTCTCAGAATAACCAGAGAAGTCCGAGAATTTATAATTCAACGATTTTCGAGTCGTCGAATATCTTGCACCGGGGATAGACAGAGGAAAAATAGATTTATTAATTTTTCATCCGCTACCAACGGCTGTTTTACTTCGTCCAGAAAAGGCGAGAGCCTCGACGAGAACGTCTCTCTGTCCTTGTCAACACCTGTCGGGAGTCAAGTCTCGAGAACGCTATTACGAGCGGTCGTTTGACGTGTCTCCTATACATGATAAACGTCGCCGACATCGTGGAAAATGTCTACCATGTTGACGAGCCATGTGGAAGAAACATTTTCATACGACAAAAGAGTACATCTCTATCGCATCGAGCGTTATAGCGGTGAAATTTATAAGCGAAAAGATAAAATATTCGAGCGAGAAAAACAAAACTGTCTGTATTTATTCTGAAATTTTGCAGAGAGAATATTTTTATTTTGTATCATTAACATTCGAATGAAATCATCTGTACTCGACCGAATTTTGAAATTTTGCTTTGCAAGGAAGGAATTTTTTTTTTTATTAATATTCGAATGAGAAAAATGAAACTACCTGTATTTAGTATCGAATTTTAAAAATATTGCAAAGAGGGAATATTTTTATTTTGTATCATTAATACTCGAATGAGAAGAATGAAACCAACCTATATTTAATTGAACTTGAAAAGTTTAGAATGAAATTATTTGTATAAATTTTGTTTTATAGTAGCATATTTTTCCATTATCGCTTACATGTATCGTTCAAAATAAGTTAGATAAATTATATATTATTCGAGTTACATAATGAAATCAAACTTGCAATTTACCACTTTGAAATAAAACATTTTCTCATCGTTACATCAGATAAATTTACATATCAATATTCTAATTCAGTGATTCTCAATATGGATCTAGAAAGAGATCATATTTAATAATAATTCAGCATCTATTTATTTTAGTACAATTACATCTATATTCTTCAAGAATATCAAGAATATTAATATTCTCTCTATATTATATCATAATTTTATATTATTTTACATGTGAGAAGATTGTTAATTACTTAAATATTATAAAAGGAAATGATTTTTGTAATTTATTTATTCTGATATAATTATCATATTCTTCAAGAAAAATGACCTTCTCACTATTTAACTTTTATTTTTCTTTTTTTTTCATTTTTCTTAAGAGACTTAGAAACTGAAACGCTATTTCAACAGAACAAAAACACAACAGAGAAAAATCTTATGTTCAATTCTTTTTATTTGAATATTAAGAAAAAGAGAAGCAAAATTGAAAAAAGGTTTGAAAACACTAATTCCAACCAAGCAAGAAACGAGAAAAATCGATTGCAGTTACGTCTAAGGAAATAGATCATCTAGATGGCGTTTCATGTTTCAGGGTTTAAGAAATTGATGCACGGCGAAGGGGCCTTGAAGAACACTGTGCTCACTGCTCTGGCGGAGATGATTGGCACTTCCATGTTGGTGTTCCTTGGATGTATGGGATGCGTTGGAAGCCTTGGTGTCGTTCCTTCTCACTTCCAAGTAGCCTTAACCTTCGGCCTGGCTGTAATGATTGTGATTCAGGTTGGCAATACGAGATCCCCTTGTAGAAATATTAATCAATCCAACCAAAAATAAAGGAGTTTCAAATACAAATTCGTTTTACGAATAATAATAATAATTTTATAATTTTAAAAATTTCAATCTCAAAATGGAGGATGCTTGTATGTAAATTAATTTTGTTTACACAATTTTTATGTGTCTTTTCTTTTTTAAAAAGGATAAAAAATATACACGAATTAATTTCAAGAGTATAAATTTTTATCAATAAAATTAATCGAGGAATTGCAAAGAATTTTTTGCACTGATCGTATAATAAAAAAGGAGGAAAACAAAAAAATTAAAAAAAAAATGTTAATAGCTATTAAATAACTTAAAAATGAAATATTAAACGTTTCAAAAAAACGAAGCAACGTCCACTCAAGCGATTCTTTGCCTTTTTCCAGTCCCTTGGCCACATCAGTTTAGCTCACATTAACCCTGCCATCACGGTGGGATCGGTTGTGCTTGGAATGAAGACTATTCCCGAAGGTTTGGTCTACCTCCTGTCTCAAGTAGTTGGTGGAGTCTTAGGATTTGGAATGTTAAAGGTTAGTATCATTAGTATGTCAACTCTGATTATCTTTTGCTGATTATCACGAATCGAAACGAACAAATAATTCTTACATTAATGGTTAAACAACGAAAGATATCGAATAAAAGATGTCAACGTTAATTTGATAAAAAGTGTCGTAATGCGAATGGAATTTTACACGTTCATTTATCACATATATACACGTTCATATATATTTACATTAGAGGTTCAAGACCTCTAATCTCTGATTCAGGAGAACATAATGAACGAGTATTTACGTAACGATACGATAAAGTATTATCTACAGTATTAATATATTCGTGGGAATATCTTTGAAGAATTGATCTTAAAAAGGTAAAACAAAAATTGGTAAATTGATATAATATAAAATATTATAAGGTTTATTTATTAAGTTATAAACGATTTAAATTTGCTTAAAGTTTTTTTTTTTTTTGATTAAAGTTTGAAATGAAGTGTCTCTGTCTTCGTTACTCCACTGGCTTACTCTATTTCTGTCTCGCTTCGTCTAACGCAAATTTAAATTGCTCGCAACTTAATAAACAAGCTTCGATCGACATTTTTATCTATCATCTTTCGTGCTTGTTTTAGCCTCTGGAATTGATCTTCCAAACTTGTTCTACGAATATATTTTGTACACAAGAATTATCAAGATGAGAAGAAATAATAATAATTTAGATTGATCCATATGATTCAAGTAATGTTTATTGCTCATGTCCAATTCTGCTTACAGAACTTTGATGTATTTTTAAAAAGAAAAAAAAAAATAAAAAAGTATAGATGAATTAATTTTAAGATCACAGAATATTAAGGAATTAATGGATTTTTGTCAATAATTAATCCTAGAATTTTTTGTTTATATAATAGGAGGAAAAAAATTCTGTTAAAAATGTTAATTAAATATTAAATAATTGAAGAATTAAATATTATAATTAAATTATGGCATTGAGCACGAAAAAATTTGTAGATACATGAAGAATGATAATCGAGATAAAAATGAAACGGCTTGTATCGACATTCTTAGTTGAACTAATTGTGAATAATCGGATCAATAAAACTGATCCATCACGCTAATTCTCAACTAGCTCAAAGTTAAACCATTATAATAACAAGATTAGATAGTTCGTTCGATTAACCTTCAACCTTAAACCATTGGGAATGTTCGCCATACATCAATCATAACTAGTTGCAAGTTATAATCGTGGTTAAAACTTTCTTATAGATTAACCAAGTTAATGAAATTTCATCGCCTGGAAAATCGATCTTAACGAGATCTTAATTTTTGATTAATCGATGATAATATTTCTTCCAATTGAGGTGATATTTAATTCTAATTCTTCGAAAGACAATTTACACGAATCGATCGTAAAATGTTGTACAAAAAACATATAATAATAGCAACAGAGATAAAACTTAAATTACTTATAAATTAATATATCCTCCCTCAATTTTCCAGCATACCAACTTTTCCCTCCGTTTTCACCTCTCAAGAAACAACACGCTCCAAACACGTTCCATAATTATATTAACACCTTGCACAACGTTTAACCATCAAATTAACACATCCAATGCGAATGAACGTGTCGTTCCTTAACATCTATCCAACTTTTCCAAGAAAAGATAGCCTCCCAACGTATCCAACTTTTCTTCCACGAATCTTTCAATTCAACATTTAAATTAAATAACTTAAATAATAAACTTTCCTCGATTCATCGATACAATCAACGCCCAACAACCCCTCTTCAATTTCCTCGTAAGAAACTCGTAATCTGAAACATGGTGAGAATAAAAAATTATATTATATCTCGAAAACTCTGTTAAAAAAAGCTATGAGACGAGAGGGAATGAAACCAAAAACGGGAACCTCGCGTTGCAGGTGGTGACTCCAGCGGGTCGGATGACAGGCAAAGACGTGGACGATGAGGACATGTTTTGCGTGACCGATCTGCACACAGAGCTGTCCGCCATCCAGGGCCTCCTTCTCGAAGGCATTTCCACGGCTGTACTGATGCTGGTCGCGTGCGCCGTCTGGGACAGCAGGAACGCGAAAAACACCGACTCGGTGCCAATCAGATTCGGATTGACGGTGGCCGCTCTCGCTCT